CTCCTGTACGTGGAGCTTCGCTCAGACGTAAACCAGTGCTGGAGTGCCAGCAGATTAAAACACTTTGCCTGTAAAGGCAACAAATTGTTATTCAACACACAGGTACGAGCAGAGCTGCTCTGTGATGAAGACTGGTATTTCATGCTGATCTTCTGGCCACAGCTGCACTTGGCTCCTGCTTGAGCAGAAATCAGGGTATCTTTTAGGGTGACAGGCTATTGAAAAAAGGGACCTATTTAGGAGTTGGATACAATATCTAAAGGGCTTGTTGTACATCCATGTATATCAGCATCCCTCTGATTTTGAGAATATCAGCTTAACATCGCTAAGGATTAAACAGTGTTGCCAATTCCCATGGGATATCTGCTGGACAACAAATGTGGAAGCCCAGCGGTCTTTGGGAACAAGCACAAAGTCACGGGAAGAGTTTTCTGACAAGACAAAGGATGATTTATTCTGGCAGTGTGCCAAGGCTCACCCTAGAAGAGATGCTTTAGGAATTTGCCAGTAGTTTGGCTATACACCTCATTTAAAAAAAAAAACCAACAAAATGGGGTGAGGGGGAAAGGAGGGGAAGCCAAATGCTCAGCCTCAGCAGGCAGCCATTCCTCTCAACCTGCTGCTGGTGTTGTGGAGAAGGAACGCACCCAAGGGACCTGCTGCTTCTGTGCATCTCTGAATTCAAAGTGGGGACAGAAAGACTGTGGCCCCCTCATGCCAATGAACCCAGTAGGGATTTGCCGGCAGGAGGATGGAGGGATTTCATATGGAGATCTCCTCTGGGGACAGCTGGGTCACTTGCTGTTCCCCCTCCTTCTGGGAAGCTGCTGCTTATTGCTTCGGGGGGAACAACAGCAAGGCAAGGCTCAGCATGTCAGATGCATCATGCATGCCGCTTGGAGACCCTGGCAAAGTTCATTCTTCCCTTGGCAAGTATAGTTTAGACCATCCCTTTCTCCTCATGCCCCCAACACAACCTAAAAAGGGCATCAACTGACAAGTTCAACAGTTGGAGGCCTTACTTGGTTACCTCCTGATGACTTTTGATGTTCTCATAGAAAACCTCTATTCTTCTGAGCCAACTACACAAGCTAAGAGATCTATTTTCAGTATTGTCCCCACTTCTGTAGAGATCCATCTCCATCCCTGTACCCCCTCCTAGCTTTCAACCACTTGGGTTATCTCCTCCTTTTCCTCCCACAATTAAGAGCAAGCCTGCAGTAGGAAAGGTGGCTGCTCCTTCTCATCCGCTTCTCTAGCTAGGAAGAGCTGCTAGTATTTGTGATTTATCAAACACAAATATTCCTCCCCCCAAGCGAATTTAGGAATCATCAGCCACAAAAGGCAGATCTAAAATGGTGTTAAAGGAAGCTAACAAAGTTAGGCAAAGAGCCCAACCTGGAGATGTGCTTCCCATCAGAGCCGGGATGCCAAAAAACTCAGAACCAAGCCTGGAGCTCTGCTCAGCCTGAGAAAGGAACATGTGGCAGGGGCAGGAAACACATACCTGGGAGTGGAGAAATGCACATGATACTCTCCAGCTTTTTCAGTGTTCAAAAAAAAAATTAAGAAAAAGAAAAAAGGATCCTTTGGAGCAGGAGCAGGTGGCAGGTAGGTAGAGCATGGTGGTCCAAGTCAGCTTCCAGTTTAGAAACAAGTGTAAAGCATTTCAATGTTTCCGATGATCATAAACTTCTCAACTTGTCACCTGAATCTGTCTGTTCCGACAGCGGATGTGTCTGTCCCTGAACGTTAACAGGGAGCAGAGGGAGCTGCTCCAGAGGAGACAGCTGCAGAAGTTTTCTCGCTGCAAATTCCTTCATGCCATTTTCTATCTGCATATTTTAAAGCAAGCTGTATTCCTCTGAGGATGAGAAATATTTGCAGCAAAACTGTGCCCTATTGCAAAGGAGTCACAAGCAGGAGACGGTGTAGCCATAACAGATTGTCCTGCTCTGAATGTCCCACACTTCCAGTACTTTCCATCCCATAGTCCAAGGAGGAAGGCTAGTGTGAGCTTCCTACTTGTGGGAGAAGTGCCGATCTCTACGCAGCAGAGGTATTTCATTTCATTGCGATGTGCAACACTTAAAGCCCACAGACACTTCCAGCCCTTTTTTATCTCCTTTCAGCAGACACGTTCAGTTCCTAGCTCCAACCTGGCTGAGGGATTATCCATCCAGTTCATGCTGAAACCTCTCTCTCACATGCACTCTTGCACACTCACACACACACACATATCTTAAGGGGGGGAAGTTTGAAAAAGCCACTTTCTTCTGACACTGGGAGATCTACTTACCAGATTGCTCCTCCCTGGGTGCACAATAAACACCACCAAATGTCAGGCTGTGGCAGCTTCAAGTTCAAGTTAGATCAGTTAACTTCAGTTTCCTTCTTAGCTATCAGAAAATTTGTACAACTTGGGGAGTGGGGTAGGAATCCTCGCCCTCCTGCGGTTCTGTATGAAGTACCCAGACACAGTCCCTTCTTGAGGGTAAGACACCACTCTTACCATGTGCCAAAAATGGGTTTCAGCTGTTGCTCACTAACTGTACCTTAAACAGCTCTATACAGCAGAGTTCAAACTACGGTACCACTTGAAGACCCAGCAGTGCTTAGAAGTTACAGAATAGCAGCATGGAGCAGCAGGGCTATGACAACCAAGGCCAATCTGCAATGGTGTTGCCTCTGTGTTTGGCCAGCCAGTCTTCTGGTTCTCCCAAATTCTCTCAACTAGCAAAATAAAATCCATCCTTGCAGGTATTGCCCACAAAGATGCAATTAAAATATTAGGAAGTTCTGCAGCCTTCAGAGGCTGGAGTAACAGATCATTGTTTTCTACAATAATCTAAATGTAAAAGACAGAGGATGACCAAACTGAGGAAAATAACTACTAAATCTGCAGCCAAGGTCATATAAACCCCTGCTGATATGCAACCATGCTGCAGAACTTGTAATAACTGAACTTAGAGGAACAGTGTTCAAATAACATTAAGAATAAGACTCAGAACTTCAACTCAGCAAAGTTTGGGATGTAAACGTTGATTCTCTCTGCTCCCTTGCCACTTTGGCTTTGGGACTGCAGTATGCCTGATAGGTAGAGCTGCCTTGAAATCCAAAACAGCCTTCCTAGACTTAAAAGTAGTGCCAAAATTAGTTGTGGATGAACTTACTATTGTGACTCAGAACTTTTATGACTCTGCAGAGGTAAGTCACACTGTCAGTGTTACCTGAACAGAGTCGAGTTGTCAACCTGTTTGACTCTTCTACAGTAATAATTCAAACAGAAAACAGGAGTGTCACCACACGCTCCGAGACACTCTTTAGAACTGATGTAGTCTCTAGGCTCAATGAAAATACAGGGAGCTGAGTGCTCAGCACTGCTGCCCACATGCTTCGGGAACTGCACTAGGTATTCCCCAAGCACCAGCTTTCCCTTCCTCCATAACTCCGTCGCCTTCTTGTCTGTCTTAGCTGTCACCAAAATGATTTAAGCCCTCTGGACTGCTCTTTGGGGACTCTTGGCCCAGCTCCTTGCAAAATTTCATTGGTGGAAAAAGCGCATCCCAAGCAATTAGAAACAATGCAACTGCTTCCACAGCAAAGTGAAGTTGATGACAATAGCTTAAAAAAATTTCCCATCTGCCAAGTTCCAAGTTTAAAGGGCTTAAACAAAGCCTGTTTAAAATCCCTCCAGCCCGGAGACGAAGGGCCCCAATTTCCTACTGTGGGATTGGAGCAACTCCCCCCTAAGGCAGTGGGGGTTATTCAAGACCTACAGTGGAAGATCTGGGCCCAAACCTGGAATGGCCAGGGACTGCTTTACACAGTCTTTCCTGATCCAAATGCAGGCCTGCTGCAATTCCTTGCAGCTCTGTAAAAGAAGCTGTTTTCCCCCAGACCTCTCTGTCTAGTTCAGAGACATGCAGAATTGTTTCTCATGTCCCTCCTCTTCAGGGCTACTTTTCTCTTCTAAACAATGACAATCTGCAAAAGCCTCAGCTAGAAAGAAAAGATCCAGCTCAGCTATCAGCAACGGGACTAATCAGCCTGTGTCCCTAAACCGCAATGCAGCATGCACGTAGGTTAGAGAAGCACACCAAAGGCTCTCCCTCCGAAGGCTTTCTAGCAAGGCCAGCCCCAGAAATGCTGCAGAACTGGCCTGGAGCTACTGCTAACTGTACTGACTGTACTCATGGCCGTACTCATTTTACCCATCTGCCATCACCAGGGGACTGTGCCCCACTGGTGCTCATGTGAGCAAAATCTTATTGTCATGGCCAGAGTGTTTGTGTAGTGTCTCCACTCTAGAGTGGCTCGATCTTGAGAGCTTCACAAGGTTTTTAGCAGCTCCCTCTTCCAGCACTCAGCTACAGCCTCTCTGAAGGGAGAAGGAATGGAAAGAAAGGAGCAATGTCCAGCTTTCCTCCTCACCCCAGCCTCTAATTTACAGAATGATTCGTAAGCCATCAGCAACACATTGTCTACAGGGAGAACAGCAGGAGGAAGATGGTACAGACAATCCCTTTGCTAGTGAAATACCGCCCAGGGCCAACGTTTTGCCCGGGGCTGGGGTGGACAGGATCTCAGCCCCAGTCCATCATGCTTGGGACTCTGGCAGAAGAGAGTTTAACTTTTCATTGACTAGCATTCCCCAGCCAAGCAGATGTTAAGGGAGACTACAATACACATCCAGCTTCCAAAGGGTTAGCAGAGCAGGCAGGAGAGGAAAGAGATGGATTTGGCTCATAGTAGTCAAATTTCAAGGGTCTTCTCTCCACAAAAAATAGGTCTGCAGTCAGAACAGCCAAAAGCCGCAGGGAAGTTGGGGGCGGGGTGCTGATCTGGCTGTTATAAGTGTTTCTGTTGCTCTTCAGAGCTGAATGCTTTTTCAAAGGCCTAGCAATGGATATTGATTTCAGTCTGAGAGTAGCAGTCTCCTTCCCACCCACCCTCCCTCCCACCCTGAAGTGACTCTCTCAGCAGGGTGCACTGTGGCTATAAGTCTTCTGCTTAACAGCAAAGCAACACATTCTGGCAACAACTTAAATATATTCATAGGACATCTGTGACTGGGTTTGGAGGGGAACCAAACAGGGAAAAGGGAAGAGGAGTGAACAAGAAGAGGGGGGCAAGGGAGGAAAGGGATGGGAAGGTTTAAAAATGTTAACTGTTCATGAAAGATAAAAGTCATCTTCTGATATAGCAGCACTTTAGCAGTCAGCCACGCTGAGTAGACCCTGTCTGAGATCAACCGCATGCCAACTTTGTTCCAGAAACAAGTCTGAGCGCCTCTCTCTTCAGCAAGTATTGGTTACGTGGATAGTTCTTTTGTCCTGGCATTGGCAGATAATTTAAATACTGCAGCTTATGAGAGTCCTGGGAACAAAAAACAGAACAAACCAAACAAACCCCATTCGTACTAAACCTTTTAATGATTTAAAAGAACATATGATTGACCAGAGTGTTTGAGAAAATCAAGATGGCTGATCTGACAGCTCTGGAGCATCACTGTATATTTATCAATCAAACAGGATACAGAATGTGCCCCATGACAGAGCATTTTCATGGGACAATGTCACTGTGGACACCCCCCTGCAAAAGCCTGTCAGCTCTTCTGCCATTTTTCTCAAGCTACTAACAGTAATGATGCATGTACCCACCAAAGTGGGCAATCATGCTATCCCACTCCACTCATATACATCAAATCCACTCTACAACTGACCCAAATATATGAAACATTATGTCTTCCCCACACTGGTTGGCCAAGACAAAAGGGTAAGGTGATGAGCAAACCAGTCACGCTCTGACATGAACAATTTAACACCCATGCTGTGCTAGAGAGAACGAGGGCTAGGCCCTATCAGTAAATGATTTTGCACATTGATGCATCTCGATTTTATTTGCCTGGGCTTGTGCCTCAGTGTCTCCTCCCCTAGCCAAACTGTTCTCTTGAATCAGCTTGCTGCAGAGTGAGAAGAATGGTCACCACTTCAGAGGGAGGGAATAAAGCTGACGCTTCTTGGCAAAACCCTCCTGCCTGGTGACAACTGCCCAGGGTCAGGCCATCTGCATCCCCTTGTTAGGCAGCAGCTGCTCTACTCGCTTTGCAGAAACCCTTTTCCTTCTGGACAGCAGTGATAGCTGATTTAATTATTGATGATGATGGACAGAGGAGGAGGAGTTCTTCAGGGGAACTCACAGGCGCCACATGCCACAAATCCTAAAATAAAGTCCCTATTCTAAGGTATCAAAACCATTCCTGTCCTTTTACAGGACACTGTAATTACTGTCCAACCAAGATGAGAAACAGATAGACCCAGCTAGTCATTCAAGCAGCGTGCTCGCACTACATCCAGTGTCACCTTATTTTTATTTTTTTTTTTACCTGTGCGAGTGTGAGGTACAATGTAGTGTTATTTATCTTGAGATGTAGGTGTATGTTCTGGACGGGGAACGAGTGGATTCTGCTTGGGCAGCTGGGTCATTCAGAAAATCCCAGATGAGGATGGTGTCATCATGTGAGCTGCTGACTATCTGGAACTCGTCAAACTGAAGTCGAAAGACTCTTCCAGAATGCTCCTAAATGCAAGTGGGAGACACAGCATGTTACTTCACAAACTTGCTGGCACCTGGGGTGGAGCAGAGAAGATGAACTTGGGCTTGGATTCTAGTGTTACATTCATTTCTCAGTAAGCCCCATATGACACACTGTGCATCACCATCACATAGCGTAAAGTAAGCCCTCTTTCAGTGGAAAGGGTTTGCCATATCTGAATACTTGGCTCGCAGGCAGTTGACATTACAGTTATCCTGTTACTCCTTAAATCCCAATATTGGACACGCACTGTGCAGAACAAACCAAGCTCCCTCCACCACACAATTCAGTCTGGCGAGGCTGAGAGGAGCACTTTCTTCCTTGGTCCACGGTGAAACTCCTTCCCGAAATCACAGCATTCCCAGATGCAGTAGGTTACAGGGGGGGCAATAAGAACTTTGCATTCAAGACTTGGCACCATTGCCACTGCTGAAGAGGAAAGAGGTTAATACTGGAGGACACTAAGGAGCCTGTTGTAAAGTCCAGTGACACAGTAATAATTCCTCTTAAGCAGTTCTAAAAATATGAACTGGAAAGGGCATTCTTTATAGGCAGTTTACATTCTGCTCTGAGGCTGAGTGGAAATGGCATGACGATTTGGCAAGAGTTCAGACTGTAATTAACAGGAGGTAACAGCAAGATCCTGGATACCACAGAGCAAATCCACTATGCTTTCCCTTTTGTGTTGCCTATGTTTTTTTGGTGCTTACACTGCTGCAAGAGTGAGCAGTGGCCTCCTCGGTCAGAAGGGAACAGAAACCATGCAAGTAGAGTAAGCCCTATCTCTTCTATTAATACATATTTCTCTTTAGCGCTCACATGTTGTAAGGGGCCTAGGGTCAGGAAAAAAACATGCCTTAAAACATTTTAGTACTGAAAATACAGGTTTCTCAAATATTTAGAAAAAAGAGAATTGTTAGCAACTAAATGGGAAGCCTCTGTCTTATGGCACAGGACTACAAAAATACAGCTTGGTTTGCAAAGCACAACAGCTGCTTTAAAGCGAAACTCTGCATTTTTAAATGAACTGAAAATACACACACACACAAAAGTCAGATTCTATTTTTAAGATAAAATTTAAAAAAGGTCCAGTCATTGGAACCTTTCTGATCTTCTAACCGTAACTCAAATTTGTCTTAAAAACACCTTATGGGTTTCTATCTTCCCACCTATTCCAAAAAGAAATGTTTTTCCAGAGTCTGTGTTATAGCAGTGAGGTAAGTGAAGTTCTTGCTAAAAAAATACCACTACAGCATTCAGATTCACTGAGGGACTGCTCACAGAGATGCCAAGAGAGAGAGTGGTACTTCCAAAGCCTGTTTCCAAAACTCCTTTTTTTCTCCCAGTCACTGTATGCTAAGTAAGGTTGCCCTAGAAGTTCCGCACAGCACCTGCCCTTTGCTGTTGCAGTGGCAATAAGCAGACTGCACACCCTAAGTTGAGGCCACAAGGACCTGAACCTCGTAAGGAAAGCTGAACTGTGTGCTTATTCTGTGCCTGGAAAGCTTCTGTCAAATTCATGTGGCCACTGTTCCAGCTAACGGAAGACAAAACTGGAAGGGACCTGGCATGCAGCGAGCATTTGTTATCTGTGCACTTTCCTCCTACTGTTTGAAAATTGAACACAAGCAGCAGGAGACTCACGATGTTCATTGTGCAGCCAGGTTTAATTTTGGAGGCCGGGGGAAGAGAAAAAAAAAACCAAACCATGGGTAAGCGGGTATAAGGACGCCCTGTTGTCATAAACATGAAAAGTCCTAAAAGCACCACAACAGCTTCCTCTGCCCTCCCTCTTCTGGCCCCCTCCATCGCTATCAAACAGGGATTTACGAGTATCCATGTGTTGAGATTCCTACAGTGTTTCCATCCCACCACTTCTGATTTATAATATAATTAGCTGGGGCACTTTCACTGTCCACTGCTGGAAAATGCAGAGGAAATCACACCAGTTAAATTAAGTCTACAGGTTACTAGGCACACATTTGTCTCAGGCTGGAGCAGGAACACTGCTAATATCGAGCTGAAGTCTAAGGCTCTCAGGATATGCGCTCATGGGCACAGAGTTGTTCCGTAGTTTGCAACTGGCTGGCCGATGACAAAGGGTTTTTCTGGATTTCAGCCATGAAACTATTTGCAGTTCTATTTGGCTAACAAGAAGGTTTTTCAGCATAGTACCTGCAGGCATCCAAGGCTCTCACAGACTCCTACTCTGCAGCTTATGGTCCAAATACATGATTGGGAAAGAGTTAGCATGGCTTAATGATCTACTGCCTGTCAGCTGAGTCACAGTAACCCCCACAGCCTGCACCAAATGTGAAGTAAAATACTTTAGCAAAATCTACAGCAACAGTAGCAATTCAGGTGGTCGATGAGTGTGCAGAAGGTCAGCTAGCGCAGCTCAGCTGGTGAGAGGTAACCACACTTTTAGAGAATCAGACAGCCTCGGTATGATCTTGGTTTAGAGCACAGACTAGTCACATGTCACAGTAGGAAAAGGTCTAACGTATACCAACCCAAACACTTCTTGGCTGAAAAAGAAATACATTTAGTACTTCTTTTTCAATGAGAATTTGGTACTGGATTGAAATCTTCCTTTATCCCCAGCAACAGTGCAAGTTTTTGGGGGTGAATGTGATGGAGGAATGCTTATAGGAACCATCCCATGGCCTTGGGCGTACTGGCATTTTTCTCACAACCTTTCCACATTATTGTAAGACCAGTGCAGAGCCACTGTTAAGCATGACTGTGAATGTTGTTAACACTCACACAATGACATTTTAATCACACCATCATCAGACCTGCGCTAAATATCAATGGACAGCATGAGAATAGTAGTTGCTGTTTAAGGATGAGTCAATTTCACTGCCTGTTTCAGTCCTTAGCCTCTCTTTCCCTAAACACCCAGAAGCCAGTTAAAAGCAATCCCAAGGTTGCTTTTGTTCTTATTTGTTCAAATTTGGAACGTACTACTTTTCTTTCCATGTCAACAATTCTGACAATGTACTTCTACATCATTAGGTACACACAGGTTGAAGTAAACCCACTGACACATGGATTCCAAGAAGGACAAGTCTCAAAAATGGGTTTAGTTGTTAACTCCAAATCACAGAACAAAACCGTTAAAAAGTGAATGAAACCTCCACAGGTTCTAATTTTTAATGCTTTATAGCTTGCAACATTAAAAAAACAAACCAGTTGGACACCCAAAGAAGCCAGACCCCTAGAAATGACTTCTAGATCCTGCAGAATGGGGCTAAGCTGACTTGAGTTTTCATGGCTCAAGATAGCCCTGATCAAGCAGACTTTTCTGCCCCCTCCACCACCCCTACCAAAAGCTCTTACCACAAGGGTTCGCAAGCAGAGGGTTCCTGCTGGAGCACGGGGGTCCAAAGCAGCCACGAGATCCCATACTTTGATTTTCCTAGTAGTGAAAAAAATAGACAAACACCACGGCTCTGTTAAAGATGAAAGAGCAAGTGCTCACAGAAAAAAAATAACTGTTAGTACAGCTTAGCTAATACACCAGTTCAAGGAAAATTACAGCAATCCTTCTGCTCTTGAGACCTGGTTCTTGCACTTCCCCTTTGTAAAGCTTATAGAGCTTAATGCGAGAAAAAAATATGCTGTCAACAAAGTAAATACTAACAGATAACTAACAGAATACTGTTAGTAATAACTAACAGAAACATGTGGGAGCGCAGACACCTAGTCAGTAATGGCAAATGGTCCAGAAGACATAACCACAGATGGGAAAGATTGTTTTTACCAGTGGTTCAGCTAGAAGAGGTTTCAGGTTGAGTCAGTCAGATCTTCTTACAAGCTAGAAGAACTGGACCACACACATCAAATCACACTGACTTATTTCAAAAGATGAAAAAAAGGTATCCTTTGTAGCATCGTCCTGATTTACTGGCCATGAAAAGGTCCTCTTGGTATGAAGGACAAGGAGTCTAATATTTATAATGAAGATACAGCAAAGTGGGATGTGAGACACTGAGACAGACAGGAAGATACAAGGTATTGACTGCACCGACAGCCTCACCCATCATATGCCCCGCTGACTATCCTCTTGTTATCAAAGCGTATGCATCTCACCAACTCTTCATGGCCTTCCAGTACTCGTAAACATGCCCCACACTCGATATCCCACAGCCTGGAAAAGAGTAGGAAGAAGCACTAAGAACTTTTGAATATCTGATCATTGCAATGAAACATTTGGTCTTTGCTTGTAGTTAATGGAAACTTGGAAATAAAGATTATGATGAAACAACAAAGAAGAAACAAACTATATTCATCAGTCCTTTTCCTGCTGTTAAGCGGATGCATGCTTTTCAACATGACCCTGTTATGTTACAGTATCACATGGGAAATGAGTCAGAGATCCACAAATTTTAAGACTAGTTGTGTCTAGTATCTACTGCTCTAGTAATACAGGATATCTCCCAGTTATCTTCATCACAGTGAGCCTCATAACTTTATTTTACTGAAGTTGATTTTTCATAAAAGTATCCCACCTTGATTTTAAGATGTTAAGAGAGGGAGACTTGCCAATTCCCTTGGCAGCTTGTTCCAACTGGTAAGATCACCTTCACAGGGCACACACCCCTTTCTGTACCCCTACATGCCTAATTCTGATTTGGAGACTACCATCAGACAAACTAAGACATCAATACAGTGGTGAAAGGTACAAGAATTAACAAGCCCTTTTTATTTGTCATTTCTCCTACTGAAGGTGTGTTTACTCTGTAATCTAGGCACCTTATGCATAAGCTAAAATGGGCACTCTATGTTTATTATTTTGTAATGCATTTTCTTCTTGCTCTCAAATAATTCCTGTGGCTCTCTGCTAACTGTTTCTAATAATCCAATATTTTTAAAAAAGTTCTGGCACCAAAACCAGTACGTGGTATCTCAGTAAGATACCCAGCAATGCGTTATTCTCTCAACTGTAAATATCCCAGAGTTTTGGGCTTTGTGAAGTATTTTTAGCATGGAGAATAAATTAAAATACATGCATTTTTACACTTACACACTACCTTGAAAAATACTTAAGAAACGCTTGAAACAGTTGTGAAGTAAGTCTATTTGCTTTCCATACTTTTGTCAGCTCTTTGTCAAGACTCACAATTACCATGGATAAAGAAAGATTATTTGCCTACAAGAACTGAAATTCTTTGACAGGTATTGTCTAGAGGTTCCACCTCTGGCTGAGACATGCTCTGTTCATACAGGAATCTTTTAATAGCAGTATCTGCTGCGTCTCCCTGACACACAGCTGAAATAAAGCAGTCACAAATGTTCTTAAATGCTCATTCAATTAGCGTTCAGACTGACATGAACTTCACAGTAGTGAGAAATATGGGTGGTTCGTGGAATTTCTCTGGGTGACACATCGCGAAGCAGCACAGCTGCTGAGGGGTCAGGTCACTTTTCCCTGAGAGGCAGACAAAGAAAGAGATAAATTGTCCCCATATATTTTACTCCTGAGGTCCCCCAGGGAATAATCCAGGTCCAGTGGATGTGTGCCCAAGGTTGGTGGTTAATGATTGCAGCTGTCCTGCCACAACAAGCTGCTCTCACTTTGGACAACAGAAGAATGAACAGAACTCTTTTGTCACTGTAGAACTGGGAAAGGATTTGTCTATACACGTTTGAGGCCAACGAGGAGCACAAGGTGATTCTTCGATATGTGAAGTTGATCCTTCAGGAATCTGCGAAGATCCCAATAGTTTTCACATGACTACCAGCACACCAGTCAAGGTCGGAGCAAGCAACTCCATGGCAAAGGTCAGCCAAAGGCACTCTGGCTGGTCAGAGAGCATTAAGTCTCTCAAGGACTGTAAACAGGGCGGACAATGCCAGAAATGAACTGGTGCAGAAAGGTTTGAGGAGCAATCTTGTGCCAGGAACTTTCATGCCATGTGTTTCCACTCCTTGCCATCAAGCCTGAGATTGCCAGCAGCTCTGGGAGGCTACAACACACTATTCAGGCCTGTATTTTCAGGTCCCAGTTTGAGGTTTCACCTGAATCTGAATGGGATTAGAAGAGATGATCATGTCCCTAGCCATGTGGGGAATGGGCCTTCACGTACAAAAGGGATAACTGCTATGTAAGAGCAGAATCTCCTAGCAGAATTGGTGCCGAGGGTACCTCCCAGATTTGATAACCTTCTCAAATTTCTACTTCTTTAAATAGTCAAAGGACCAAATAGTAAGAGAACTGCTCTTAAGGCTTGAGAACTAACTAAAAAAAAAAAAAAAATCACTACAAAGTGTATGCAGTCAAAAACACTACCACTCTTCCTTCCTATAGCTTTGGGAGAACTTCTGGAAGTACAGGGAGGTCTGCAATTATCTCAGCCTTTAATTCACTTGAAGTCCTGGCAGAGCTGGAAGATGTACAGAAGGCAGGTGAGCCTGAATCCCCATCTGCTAGAGAGAATGCTGTTGTCTAAACAGTCCAGTATCAGATCCCCATGTGTGCACACACTGGAGGTTGAATACACTCATTTAAAAATTAACCCAAGATGATGTAGTCCGATTCTATTTTCTTGCTCTAAATTATCTTTTTTTTTCCTTTTTTTCTATACCATGCTTGTCTGCAGCAATTAAGAACTTTGGCCCTAGAGCCTAAGATACTGAAGTGATCGGATTAAACTTGATGGACCAGTTTCTGCCAGATGGAAATCGGCACAATGATAGCGATGCCTGTGTAGCTGTGTCCTCTTACACAGTGAAATTTCTGGCCTAAAACAAAACCTAAATAATTTTTATACATGGAGTCTCCCTACAGAAGAAAGATACTGATTTCTCAGCTACTTCACATGTCCTTACATTTGCAGTCGCAAAACTAGAAATCAGAGTCATCTTTTGCAAAAAGTTTCCCTGCAACTGAGGAATGACAAACGTCAAATTCTGTATCAGGAGGCAGCCTCTACTAAAGGGCAACACACAACATCTGGCATTTTACAGTGGATTAAAATCAAACATACAAAGCACCAAGCCACCCACAGAGATGACTTAGTAACCTGCCCTTTCTTAATCACCCTTCCACTGCCTTGTGCCCTCTGCTAATGGCTGGGAGAAAACAATGTGATCAGGTAAGTCTTGTGCCTTGCCCACACAGCTGCCAAACCTGACTTCCATTAAGATTCACTGCCAACATTCCTGAAATTCTAGCACAATTTATCTGTCAACTAGGGATTTTGTCCAATGTAATCCTAAAAGTAACTGTATTCCTCTTTAGTGTTATCACTATCTTGACATTTACTTTTATTAGCATTGCAAGTCATATCTTAGATCCTTCCCTAACTGCTGTAATATTTAACTATTTCTTACTCTAATTCTGAGACCAAGTTTCATAGTACAATTGCAGAGGGTTATTTTTTTCGATTTGAAGTGCAGGAGTTCTCACCATGTGTAAGTGGTGCTACTCTTACACAATGCCTGTAATACTTTTTCCCCTGATTAAGAGGCAGAAGTTCCAGCTCTCTTGGTCATCCTCTCAGACAGCCCTAGACTAAAATCTGGCACAATGACCTAGTGATGTCAACCAAAGAACCACCATTTTCCTACAGAATGCAAACCAGGGAGAGGCAGCGTGTTGCAAGCGAAGTCCACAGGCAAACAGTAGCATGAATCATTCTCACTGAGGAGAAATTATTACTGACATGCAAAGTGAAGGGTTTCTGCTTACACTGTCCAGCTTTCAAGTTTTATCAGAAGGCAGACAATTATTTAAAGCAATGACAAAGACAAAAGGGAGGTTGCTCTTACTCCTGTTTGCATGAGAGCGCCATTTCCCTACGTCACATATACTACTACTCAAGCTTGCTCCGTACACCCTGAGATTAGTGGGACATCCCTCTGCCAGCAGCTGCAGGATGTAGGGAGAAATCCTGTCTCATGATACCAGAAGGAGTTAAATCTCAGATTGCAATCAGGGCAGCTGGAGAAGTGCAAAAGGCAGCAAACTGAACTTCATGCTCTAAACCAGCTGTTCCAAACTTAACCAGGTGCCAAGTACCACAAGAAGAGTTTGGCGAGAGCCCAGGAGGATTTCTGCAGAGGATTAAATGCCTCTTGCTGCAAATCTGACCCCTTTAACTAGACACATAGCCCAATTAAAATATCACAAGAGGACATCATAGAAAGTGGTACTTGCCAGCTCTTTCATACACCAGAATTGTCAGAGCAATGCAACTTGTTGATTAGTATGGGACTCTTGAGATATAGAGGATGAAAGATAACACAGTAAAACAGGCTTCTAATATCTCTTTCCAGTAGTTCACAATGTTCTATACCAAAGAAAGCATATTTCAAAGACGACAAGGGTACAGAGCACTTCAGTTGCCTAACCTCTGCACATCCCAGGGAATCAGAGACAACGTGCTTGCACAGAACTCTGCAATGGGGAGTGTGTCTCTCACCTGATAGTATTATCTGAAGAGCCGCTCACTACTAGCCTGTCTCTGTACTGCAGACATGCAATGCCTCGTTTGTGGCCATTTAAGGTGCGCACAAATTCGCAGGTACTAGTGTTCCATACCTGTGACAGGAAGGGGGGAGGGAACCACACAGAGACAAGATTATTAAGAAGAGACTAACAAAAGCTGGTATCTGTATGATACATAGGTGCATCCAGAATGCTCTTAATTGAAGATGCTATCATTAAGACTGGGAAAATTACCCCTCCGATGACTTGTGACTATAGTCTGCAACTGTTAGCAGCTTGGGTCACTGTACACAGAAGATTTTTTCCACACCGTATGAGAATTAGCTTCCAAAATCAGGCTTTGGCACTCTTGGGCTAAGGTTTAGTCTACACAGGATCTCGATTTTCCTCAGTTTTAATGCTGCAGAGATTGGGATCATAGCAGTAACACTTAAGTGACTCCTATCCACTCACCTTCACTTTTGTTCCCATGCTGCCTTCTGACAACTATTCAAATGACTGGTGCTGAAAACAGATTATGGAAGTGGTCAAGTCGAAAAAGAACACAGAAAAAAAAGTCCTTTTTCAACTGCATCTGTACCTGGGTCTGATTTGCCATACAGCTCTGTAAACAAGTTGTGCAAGCTCAACAGAGGAGGAACGAGTGGAAATGAGCAGCAGGAAGAACACTGCTTCTAAAGGAAGATCTGTGTAATAACTGCCAAGGATCATCCTCCCTGCCTGGTCACTGTTCTTAGTTATTAAATACCCCAGTGCTGCAAATAAAAAGCCTCTGAAACACCTCACCTTTATAGTTCTGTCACCTGATGCTGATACAATGTACTTGTCATCAAAGTCCACTACGTTGACGGCAGCTCGGTGCCCTACTAGCACCCTCCTCAGGGTGATGTCTGTTGGTGAAGCCATGTCCCACACAGCAATGGAACGGTCTTTGGAACATGTCACCATCATGCCGTTATTGAAGCGGAGGTGCAGTACTGCTTCACAGTGGTGAATCAGCGTATTCAGCATCTCGCCTGCATTCACGTCCCACACCCTGCAGTTTCAAATTTCAAACCAGAGAGAAGAGTTTAGAAACTGTACAGTGGATTTTCTGCAGAGCGGGAAAGGGACTGGGAGAGGTAATTGACTCTCTAGCCATATTAGAGAAGCAAACACCACAAGTTATATGTACATCTATTAAATAGTTAATTAAAAGATGTATTATATAAACCTGTTGATTATGGATACATTGAGACAGTCCAGCAGCCAAAACCCCTGCAATGCAGTTAACACCATAAAAATAACCCAGCCAGGAAAAAAGCATTCTTTAATTAAGGGAATTTAGTGCTGAAGTATGAGATTGACAGCTTTAAAGACTGGTGTTTCCTGGTTGTGTCAGCCTACCACACACTCCATTTCCAGTCAATAAGTACTTAATCATGACCTGTGGAGAAGCAAGTTCAGCGACAGGTTTAATTTTTGACCTCTCTCACAGGACTATCAACTCAAAGGATAATCTGTACAAAAGCAGAAGACAAGATAATGCTTTTCAAACAAATATAAGTAAGTGCCACAAGTTGCACCACACATTGCATTTACCCTGCAGTGCATCTGGTACACAGCTACATTCCAGGAATGTGCTGAATACCCAAATTAAGACAGAGCATTTATGTCAATTTAATGTTACTGGAACCAACTGTTCCAGCCGAAAGATAATTTAAGATGAAAGTTAGACAAAGTCTTCATACAGAACTTCCAGGACTTAAAATTAAGATTTTAAGCTTTAAAAATGTTTCTTTTGGGCTATTCTGTTGGCAAACTTCTTTTACCCTTCATAAAGAGATTTCTTTTGGCACTATCACACCTGTATCCCAGATAGACTACGTAAGAGCAGAAAATGGCTGTATCATCAGGCACATCAGACATTGCAGAAGGTAAAATTTTCCTCTGCCAATAAGACGAGCAGTAAGAAAAGGCAAGATGTGAGAAAGACTTCTAAAGTCTTATTTTCTAACTTATGAAGGCTGAAGTGCATCAACTTATGGACTATAAATGAGAAAGAAAACTACATACCAATTACAAAATGCAAAGGAGAAAAACCCACAGACTAAAGACCTGAGCCATTAACATACCAGCAGTTTGCAGACAGGGTTGCCAAACTGAACAGGAGCTGGAGACCTACTGACTTCTTTGGACAAGTGCATCCCTGAGATCTCAGAAGCATTAAGAGCCCATCTGTACTGTCTATTGGATGAAGCCCCTCTTCCTGAGGAGACCCAAGGATAAAAGTGATGCATCCTACGTGCCTCTGGGGTCTGCACAAACATTTATAGATACAGTGGGAAACAAAGTATTTCTGGGCAAGTAGCCAGTCTGCAATTTGGCCTGCCTGGCCCGATACGGAAGATGATAGTACTTGTTACAGAAATCAGCTTCTCCTTTCGCAATCTGTTTAGCACAGTGCAGTTCCCACACCATCTCCAGGCAGGCGGTGTTGCCGAAATTCTGGATTCCTACTAACAATAGGACCCCAAAATCTAGCAGCACCACAAGACTGCATGCATCACATGTCAGGAACTGAATTTAATGGTTATTAGCTTAACAGTGGTAGTTTACATGCAAGCACAGTGATAACCATGAGGAGCTTGCAGCCACAGGAACACATGCTAATAGCTTCAGAAAAGGCCACTGACACAGCTTTTTGTTGTCTGTAACTTCACTGCATGGGCATTGTTTGTACTCTGACAAGAAGAGAATATATAACAACATGGAGAAGACAGACTTGCTCCTTCACATCCAAGTTCATATTGCAATTCACTAACTCAAATGCGCCTGTATTTACACTGCAGGTCTTAGACTCTCTGGGATCCTGTAATAGATCTAGTGGACTTCACTTCTGCACAACATGCACCACAAGTGCTGACTTGAGGTGTCCAGCCTTTTGCTGGAGACTGGAAGGAAAGGAAGGTTAGAAAGATTGAATGAAAAGAAACATCATGCTGAAATTTAATTAAAAGTCACAGGAGATCTAGTCATACATCTTCTGTTGACTATGAAGTGACAATGGATGACTAAACCTTCAAACTTGCTTTGAAAACTTCAACCAACTTTTAAAAAGTTATTCTCAGGGAGAATTTAAAACAGTCTCAGGGAGTGTCAAAACATGCAAAACCTTGGTGAAATGCCAGATGGCCTTCCTAAGTCATCCTGACCTTGACTGGCCTTTGCTTAGGTTCTCATTTCTTCTTGACAGCCATTTGCATGGACATCTGATAAACAAGGACAGTACACTCCTGAACAAATACACTGAACTACTTCATGGAACCGACTGAACAGCACACATTTAAGAAAGGATCATTTCAGCAGCTTGCAAGGCGAAAATCTTAGAGGCAAACAGAAAGCTCCAAATCATGAGCACACACCTGACTGTTGAGTCTGAAGATCCAGTAATGATCACCCGTTCATCGTACTGGAGGCACAGGACAGAACCCGTATGTCCAGTGAGAATTCGCTTGCATTCCAATGTATTCTTATCCCAGATCTAAGATCGCAAACATTCAAAACCAGACAGCTCAGTAAGGTTTTCATCTTTCAGCACTTACTGGTTTGACTGGTCTGTTTTTTACTACAACACATCATCCATAGTGCAGTTAGAATATCTTTAGTGGCATCTGTAGAGTCTTCTACAGGCTCTTTGGTGCAATACATTACCATCTTTGCTATTACTGGCTTTACTATGAACATTGGTTTTACCTTTCTCATCAGGGTATAGGGCACAGTAATTACATAGCCAGTAATTACTGATGGACAAAAACTCTGCTAGTGAAGTTTGATTGTAAGAAAACAGGGTCTCTCTTGCCAGATAAGAGAGGCATACATGCTGTGCAGGTGTGAGGTGGGGGAAGTAGAAGGCTAGGTTACTAACAAGAGATTGAGTAGGTGTCACTGAAATTAGGACACTATTATTTATGGCATAGACACTGCATGCTATTAGTATGTCATTTTGGAGCATTCTCACCTTAATAGTATTGTCTCGTAGGCCACTTACTATCTTCTGATCATCATACTGTAAACAATAAACCCCTTTGCTTGTCTCGCTTCGGCAGTGGATCCTCTGTAAACTGTGCCTTCCACACCGCCAGTTTGACTCTATTGTCTTGAGGAGAGACAGGAGACAAAAGAGAAGTAAAAATAAAGCACGTAACTATCTCCCCTTTTTTTGTTTGTTTGAGAAGACAGCAGATACTTTTCTTCACACTTTTTCCTGCAATCAGGCCCATGCAATGACATAACTGCTTTCTAGAAGAAGTAGCACACATAATAAAACCAATTAAACAGATAAAAGCCTGGAAAACATATCATGGCTAAACTCGTCTGTGTTATCTGGAATGGTGAGGGAGAAGTGACCTAAAAGCTTTTTTCTGTCTCCAACCTTTAACCCCCTGTGACTCAACAACTAAACAACTGAAGAGAAAGCCTCAGTTGAGCTCTAGCTAAGTGCTTGTACAAACTTGTCACAACAGTGCCTGAGCACCGCTTTTGCCACTAGGAAACTACCAGAACATGGCATTTTGCTCACACATCTTAGATACAAGGCAACCGTGCTCAGCTGCCTCCTATTTCCCTGGGTCTTAGGATTGCAGAAAGAATGTACTTTCTCCCTGTCTCAGTTCCTGATATCTCCCCATAACATGTTATTAGGTCTCATCTGCACTGGGTGGAGCAAAGTACTGTGGAACAGAGAAAATCAAGATGGTACGGTGCTGCTGTGACATCTGACACGCAAGGTGTAGAGAGTCCATCTGCAAACAGCTCACTGAACAATCCAACTCATCCTCTGTCTAAAGGGACCTTACATAACTATCCCAGATCTACAAACTCTGGACAAACACAGACATATCAGATTAATGAAATATTCCATTAGAACAAAATATTCTCAGAATTTCAGCATCATGAATAAATCAGGGAGATTTTAAAAAAATACAGCCAAACACCACCACATCTGGAAGCTGTGTCTTACCTCTATGTCCTGTATAATTTTGGGGTAAAGTGCTCTGTAGAAGGAGTTGGGTGGTGCAGTCCCATCAGGAGGTTTATTTTTAAATAGATATTGTCCCCTGGAAGACAAAGAACACTCCCATTTGAACACAAATCACGTTTCAGCATTTTGGAGAAAGGTCCTCCTGGCATTCAACAAATGGGTAACCACTGTTGAAAAGCACAGACAGATTCATATTCAAACTTAACTTAATCAGTAAGACGGAGTGGTTCCTTGTTTGTTTGCCCTGCAACATGTCAGTGTTGCATTTTGACACTGAAATACTCATGAAAAATCTGTGCCTAGTCACTCAGGGAAGGCAAATATATTATCTCTTACGGACATGAGCCCATTCAACTCAATAGGAGGTGAGAACGGCTCATGCCCGCAATACACATACTCATATCAGAGGTCACCTCTAAAATAAAGTGTACAAAGAAAATGAAAGAAGCCAAGGAACCCTCAAACTCACTATGCATTCAAGGTTAGCTTTTATCTGCATTAGCAGGAACAGTATCAGTTTTGGTACATGGACATTTTACTGCTACTACTATATTTTGGTAAGCAACACTTCATCTGTGGTGCCTCCCTCATCTCAACACTGATTTGGAATACTCATATCCCAAGCTAGATTTTTGCTACAAAAAAAATCTGTAAACGGCAATCACTACCTGCTGTGTAAAAAACTTTAATTCCTCATCCTGAAGTTAAGAAGCCACCAAACACGGTGTGGAAGCTAGTAAACCCCACCATGGGCGTACTAACTGCTGTTCTGCCTGGCAACATGCCTCACAAAATGGAGAGAGGCACAAATGCCTTCGAGTGTAATCCTGGCATCAGAGGCACAGAGTTTACACTGGGCCAGCTCTCCTCTTCTCCCTCCCTTGCTCCATTATGGCATAATTAATTGTTCAATACTTCCTTGCGCATTTCTTTCTTGTCCTTTCCATACAGTATACCTTGAAACTCATTTGAGAGACTGTACATTAGCTGCCCTGATGTACTTGAACCAGGGAAATCACAACAACGAACTGAAATTTTTAGGTTATAAGGTCGTAGCAAACTATAGGACTGAACAGACAAAATAACAAATGCTCAAGAAAAGAACTTTTGATAATTCTTTAAACAATTTACTTTAAGTACGACTTGAGAGAAAGGTGCTTTCCACTTTGGACAGAGCAATCATCTGAGTCTTCAAATACAGTGACCAGCAGCCACTCATATGGGGACAAACACACGTGAAGAAGGGACACATGGATGCAGGCAAACCACTAACTAGATGGCTGCCTATTTACTGTGATCCAGTCTGGAAGTACATACAAGAAAATTAAAATTATTGGCCCAGGGATACGAAAAATGCTTTGGAGATACACAGAATACCTAGAATACATCCTGGAAGACTTGGGGTAGGTCTATGGCAATCTGTATACAAGCCTGTGTGCCTGAAAACCTGTCTATTGTTTCCCACTTTACTAGCTGATCTAATACAAGGTCTTGTTGCTACCTATAAGCCCTGCCTTGCTGCATGTAGAGTCAGTTGTTTACAGTTCAGCTAAAGGATTGCTTGGAATTTCCAGGGCATCCCAGTGGCTGTTGTGCTGTGGCTCTGGGATAAAAGGAACTATTGTTTGCAGGTTTTGATGACTGGCCAATTCAATCAAGTATTCAGATGGACACAATCCTGCCCAGATTTTGGGCTTCTGTTTTATATTTCTCTAAATCTGTGTAACCCTTACTGCTCCCTGACAAGCTGTCAGTGAAGGCTACCATGCCGCGGAACTGGGTGTTTCTGCTGTAAACCACGAGCTGCAAATGCTGAAATCAGGCAGCCCACATGCAAAGTGAGGAGCTGTAAGCAAGTAACACCAGTCATCTATCATTCTGAACTGTCCAGTTAGTCACCTCCTTGTGCCATGCACAGTGTTAGCATTGATTACACGCTGTAAAGCTCTATATGGCAGAGATGCAATTACAGTGGATATTTCTTGTCTGCCTCTCTTAACCACCCCACCACGCCTGCAGTTGTATCTTCTAGAGCTAATCAGAGGGCAATCTGAAAGACAGGGCACAACTTGCTCCTGTTCTGTCAAAGCAACCTCCAGGACACAGTGTAAACCTGAAGAAGAGGTGCAGTAACAGGGTGTGACTGTCCTTTGAGATGAGAAGCAGGTTTTTGCAACTGTTTTTTAGAAATGTCATGTGTCTGTATGACTAGTAGTCAGTTCTGACGTTATTTCTAAAATCTGGAAGGAGCAACTTGAGAACTATCAGCTATGATCTCTGACAAGATGCAGAGCATAAGTAAATTTCCACAGAACAGGAAAAAGACAAATGTAGCTCTTGCATTTTAAAAAAAGGGAAGAAGGTCCACCACGGAAATGGTGGACCATCCAACTCAACTTTGACAGCTTAGCAGTTCTAGAGCACACAATCAATCAGATGAGCACCTAGAAGATGACAAGGTGACAAGCAACAGGCAACACTGATCAATCCAGAATACACCATGTCAAACTGACCCAATTTCTTCTCACGGACTCCTCCCATGACTTAGCAAGAGAAGTATGATCTTGGAAGAGCTCAAGGGTGGACACACAAATGGCTGGAAAGCACAGTTTACCGATGGTGCACTGACAATCAGAATGGCAACTGGGATCTTGCATGGAGTCTGTCCTAGATGTGTCATTATTGAGCATTTTCTTTAATGACAAAGAATGGAACAGGGAGCGCATTTATTACCTGGCCAATGATACTAAAGCTGGAAGCTACAAGCACTTTGGAGGACAAGATTAACCTCATAATGCTCCTGACAAAATGGAGAAATACCAAACGATAAATAGAATCTAATTCAGTAAGAACAACTGCCAAGTTCACCACTGAGTAACAACATAAGCATGCAAGATGAGGAATAATGGCTAAGTAGAACTTCCACAGAAAGGGTAATTAATTTTCTAACAGTATTATACCACTGTTAAAAAAACAGCACATGTTCTACTGGAAAGCATAAAATGGAGTGTCCTCCACACAGCATGCCAAGCAATGCTTCCCACACCACCGAACTCTAATACACCCAGCTGATTACACCATCCTCCAAGAATGGAGTAGAGTAATTGGGGAGGTTCTAAACAGAGAAAACCAAGAATGGCAAGAGGACAAGACAACATAGGATTACGGCTGGTTAGCACATCCAAAACGTAGGAAACATGATCATCTTCCAACATGGAAAAGATTACTGCAAAAAGGAGAATAAGAAACTGTCCTGTGTGTCTGTGTAGGCTAAATATAACACGCCGAACTGTAGCTAGGAAGACAGCTTAGATTTTAGGAAAATCTTTCTAACACTAAAGTTAGTGAAACAGTGGAATTCCTTGCCCAGGTAAGGCCTGGGGAATCTCCATCAGTGAAGGTTTTTAAGAACAAGTTAGACAAACATCTGGGATGACTTAAGAGACACCTGGCTGTGCCTTTGGGAAACAGGAGGGAGTAAATAACCTCTCAAGGTCCTCTTTGGACTTACTGTGACCTCAACAATACAGAGCAAAAATAGAAGTCCTGGAGAGAACAAGGCAAAGGAATGCAAAAGTTACCACTACCATGCTCGTGTTTATTTTACAGTCTTTATAAATATTACACTATTGGAAGCAGATCAAAATAGTATTTATTTTTAATGGATGTTTCATAATCCTGATTTACTCGCCTTTACTTCCTGAGACAAACAGTGTAACAAAATTAACCATAAAACAGGAGTCTTTGTTTGCAACTCTGTATCTTTTTCTTTTTAATAGCAACTAAAATGCCTGAGCTGTCACTTTTATCTTGTTTATGAAATATTCATACCCAGCTTCCTTTCTGCCAACATCCTAGGGACACCCTTGGAAAAGAAAATTATGTATTAAAGGACGTACCCCTGAGAGGGAAAGTTCTAATGAAATGTTAACAGAGCAGCTTCAAACTTGAGTGAGACCCACATTGTAGTAAGGCTATTCCAGATGATTATTAACTAATCTATCTGCATTTCTAAAGTCCCCTATTCTCCGTGGTACCTACCCTCAGCTTCCAGTTTGAAAATTAAACAGATATCTAATAGTGAAAATCTGCTGAGGAAAACAAACAGACCTATCAGGAAACAACTAATTCATAGCACATGCTGCCCCACCGCCACCCCTAAAAAAGCTCTTCTGCTCTGAACTGCTGACTAGTTTAGTGTTCCCCTGGGGCGTACACAGCTTCTTAATTTGAACCGAATGACAGCTGGGTGTAAAAATCTCAGTCTGTATATCTCACTTGTCACAGTGGGATAAGAGCATGATCAGATGAGGAAGGTGAGGAAAAAGCCCCCACATTGCCTGCATAGCCAAATGATGCCCTAACTCCCCAACCCCCGAATTTTGATTTAAGTAACTGTCAGGTTTGGAACCAACATGATGTTTCAGGGTGCTAAATAACCCTCTTCAAACATGGTTTGAAACACACAGCACCTACTGTCCTGAATGGGCGCAAAAGAGGTTTCCTCACCATCCTCTCCTCTCTGACAACCCCCTCCACAGGGAGTCTGTCCTGACCATTCTCTCGATGAGCTTCTTCCACAGCATGCCGTCCGACGTCACCCGGTACCACTCCTTGCACACCAGCTCAGCAGCACACAACGATGTGGCATCCAGGTATGACAGAATGTTCTCAGCAATATGATCCAATCCCCGAGCTGGGGGAGGGGGGGGAAAAAAAAAAAAAAAGATTATTTGCTGGGGAGACACGGAGTTTAAAACAACTCCCCTTGCTAATACAAAGATACCCTCTCTTTCCATCTCCTCTTCTGCACGCAGAGCTGGACCAAATGCACAGAAGAGCATTTGCGGCTAAGTTCAGGAGTGAACAGCGTTCTCCAACTTCCTTTGGATATAACACAACAAGTCATTAAAAATAATAAAGAATCTAAGAAGTCATTCCAATCTATTTCGATGGGTTTTAGCACTAGGGGGATATTCTATGGATGGCGTTTCCAACTCAGCGACGCAGCCCCCAAAATCTCTCTATATTAGGACCATTTCTCATCTCACTGCTACAGCTGTTCTCATGTTCCAACGGCTCAAAAGCTGTTTTTGCTAAAGCAGTAGCTTTTAAACGTAATGAAGAAAAAAATATATATTCCCAATGTGTGCCCTGAAGGGTAGTGGTACCTTTAGACATGGGGGAGGGAAAGATATGCAGATGCACAGGGAAGTCGAGAGGGAAGGAGAGGCTGTGTAAGGAGAAAGTGAAGCAGGTTTGCTAGTTTCATTTATTTTAGTGAGTGGAGGAAAAATATGCACCAAAACGGTATAATTTGCAAATATTTTCCAGTGTGAATACCAGGACTGGCTTTGTTTCAACATGGCTGGAGTGAAATGTAAAGCAATTGCCTGGTTAGCACCAAGCAGCCCGATGTAACATCTGCGTAGCTGGGGGCCAGGGAAGGTTATGCTACGTTTCTTAACTGGATGGATGTATTCAGTAAAAATGTGCCCTTACCCACTCAAATTTAATCACCATCAAGACTCCAGGAAAATAAGATGCCTTTTAAATGAGATGTTGCATAAATACAGCTTCTCTTGGAGGTTGTTTAATTCACAAGTGAGACACAGCATCAAGAGATTATCTCACTTCACAGGTCAAATTTCAGAGGCTTTGTGGAAGTTGTAGTTTAGACCCCATCATCCCTCAGGCATAATGTTCAGACCAACCAAAAACGAACCATGGCAGATTGGTATTACATGCATCTTCCCTCCGGTTCACATTTGGGACAGAGTTAAATACGTCTTTTCTTGCTTTTAAAACAACAGCCTCAAAGACCAGGCCCTGCTTGTGACAGGGAAAGAAAAAGCAGCAAGTGCGTTTCTACAGTCACATGTCCATACTTCTGCAAACCCAAACTGGGTGCAATCAGCTGATTCTGATTAGAGTTCATGAGACACAAACGGTCCAACCTTTGTTTTCGTTAACTGAAACATCTCAAAATTATCTCCCAATGCAAGAAAACAAGAAAATTCAGCATGCCTCCTCTCACTCCTTTCAAACATCCTAAATTTATAACACATTTTGGGTGAGACATTCTGCCCAGCGTTTTATGCTTCCATTCATATGTAGAACAAGCACGTGAATGATACCATGCACAAACAGAGTGTGCAGAAAGAGGTCTGACATTTCTTATCTTTATAGATGCAAAATTAGATGTCAACCTGCAAAATAAAAGCTTCAGCAGCCTTTATTATGTATTTAATCTGAAAAGATATTTACAGCCACTATATAAGATTCTTTTAAAAAAGGAAAAAAAAAGAGTGTGTGTAAATTTAGATTGACTCTACAGCAATTCGTGGAAAGAGAGATACAATGTTTTAGTGAATGTGAACTGGAATTTGCAGGAATTCCGCAATTTGGTAGGGCAGACATGGACATCGTGTCCCCCTGCTTCCCCACCTCGACACCTGCAGCCCTGAGCTCTCTCCACTGGGTGGAAATGGCATATTTACTTTTCCAGTCTGAAGTGTTGTAACTACTTCCATGACCGTAAGTCATCCTTTGCCATTGACCCTAGACCCTTCGCAGAGAAGGAATACTAATGTTTTGGCCTTTCCTCCTCACATGTATGATAAGTGGATGGGCAGAGCTATTTTGGCCTGGCTGCAAACTCAATTTTATTATTTTGTTTCTTAGGACCAGCACAACTCACTGAGACATATATCTAACAAAGCATCGCTTCCTAAAAAAGAGAAATCTCTGCTCACAAAAGTTTTTGCTAAATCGATGTGAAACACTGTTAGCCCTTCAGCCCTCCATACCAACAAGAATGTTTCAGTTATTTCACACATGAAAGCCTTATGAAAATGACTTTCCTCATAAAAAATGTTAAACAGCTTGGAAATGCTAAGCAGAGACCTTATTTTTCAGAAACAGAACAAAGTTTGTTAAGTACACAGTTAAGCTGTATTTTTCAAACAACCTTAATTCTGTTCAAAGTACTGGGAAAATAATCTGAGCCAATTTTACTCTGTATTAGTAAAACGTGCTCATGATCTAAAACTACCTTTAATTCTGGTCATTCTTTGGGACAGTGCTAGGAGGACAGAGATAAGATGCCTCAGGATTTTGAAGTAGCTTTATTGTTTTATTTACTCGAGTGGGAGAGCAGGAGAGAGAATGAAGGAGTAAAAATTAAACCAGAATACTGAACACTTGAGAATTTCAGAAAGCTAAAAGATACTTAAATAGTTTTTTAATTATGTGACTAAATTTAAAATTTTAGGTTCATCACTCTTTCCTAGGCAGTTTCTTACCTTCCCCTTTCCCATTCCCCTCATTAGAAACCTGCCTATACTCAGGACATCCTGCACAGACTGCAGAGTCTGCGCCAGTGTAATTCCTTGCCATTAATTTTCTCCCTTAGAGCTATATTCACTAGGACATTAGCACTTTGCAAATATGCAAATCGATGCACATACATTATTTAAGTTCCCACAACTATTCAAATACTCACATATTAGCTGCCTGATTCCTATCTATTCTGCATTCTGAGATAGTAAAATTAGCTGCTTCCTGGGAAACTGTGAAAATACCACTAACAAATATGGTATGGCTAGGAAATTTTGAATGCCTCTGAAAATATAACATTTGGCCAAAATTTTCAGAAAAAGGCCTGTAGGATGAATTAAGCAAGTGCAAACAAGATGTGTTGGCTTGCTTTGATGGAGTTTTGTGGAGAAAGACCTGGAAAAATTGTGTATGTAACTATATGTATACTTCCACTTTAAAAGTGGGGAAACCAATGCACTTTCAAAATATTCTCTATTTTTCTGAAACAGAACAGCTCCACAAGTTATAATGCTGCTCTAAGTACACAAGATTATTGCCATTGGACTACTAAAAACTAACATAAAGCAGGTACTTAGCATAACTAAGATTTTTTTTTAATGCTACAACAGCCATTTGATTACTGGGCACAATGAGCTTAAAAATCCAGTGAGTCCTATGTATTTAACTTCATAGCAAAACTCTTGCAGTGCCTTTATGCTTTGTACAATTCAGTTAAACATGTTTTTTTCCATCTTTTAACCCTAGAACTTAAAATTTCATACTGAGAAATCCCTTCTGAAGAATGATCAAATGACTGGATTGAACAAATTGTCGGAGTTCAGCAGTTCTCCAAAGGTATTCACAGAACAAGCTTTTGGCAAGAAACTCCTCTCTTCAACTAGCTATTTAGAGACAACACCTGTAGCACGTCTTGCTCAGGTCCATCTCAAACTAAGGACCTACGCCATGGGAATGCTAATCCATTAACTATCTATCTATCTACAGAGGTACGATCTAATGGTCTGAGAAAAAGACCAAAGAGCCAGGAATTTCTGTCTGGTTCTAAAACTCTATTGCTGTATATATTTTATCTCCCACTACCTCAGTTTTCCCATCTATAAGACAGGGCCAATACAAAACTGCACGTACACTACTTTATGTGTGCATTCTGTGAGATACATCCAATGACACATCTGAGAACAGCTGGGATAATATTCTCAATGGAAAGCACTACAGAGGTGCAAAAAAATAGAACATTTCCATCCTTTGATCTTATGTCCTCCATTCTCTATTAGCAATAAACACATAATCAAAGTGACGGCTTCATGAAGGTATTTTACTAGGAGAGAGAGACAAAAAAATCTAAGTAAGAAAAGGGAAAACCTCAGCTGAGCAACCAGAAAGAGTAGTAGTTTTAACTTTAAAAATTTTCATTATTCATGCATCGTTGTGGGCATTATGAGTACAACTACCTGCCCTGTGGCTTGCGATGACTATCCTTATGACACATATATGAGCTGTCATTTACTCCTAGCCAAACCATGATGGTATTTAATCATGCCTTGAGAGACAGTAGGAATAAAAAAATAAAATATTACTACATTTCATACCATTATAGAGCTTTTAATTCAAAAGCTGTCATCTATTTTGCAAACCGACCCTAGAAGAGACCTCTCCAGCAGGGTAGGCCAGAGTGGAATAGTTTTCTGAAAGACAAGACGGAGGAGCAAGCTCCCTCTGCCTGCAGAAATACCTGGCAGTGCAGTGATAAAGTCCCGCTGTAACATGGGTTTGAGGTATGAGTTTATATGTCCGTGCTGGTAGTGACACATCTGGGAGATGAGGTGCTCCACAAACTCCACCTGGTCAGACTCGGACCACTGTTCAAAATACTTGACGCAGAGTTCCTTCTCCTTCTCATAGCTTGCAGACAGTTTTCTTTGCTTGGGCACAATCATACTGGAAGTGCCATTGGCAAGTTTCGTCTGTAAACAGGAAGGAGAGAAACAACCCAAATCACACATATGAAAAGAAGCTCAAGCGGTTTTATGATTTTTTGGGGGGAGAAAAAAGCAGAAGGAAAAAAGCACTCTGATACATAAAGTTGGCTGAGGCCACATATCGCATTTGGTGCTGTCAGTCGGAGCGCAGCCACTGCGAGCTGTAACCCCTGCAGGACAATGCACTGGCTCATGACAGAGCTGCACACAAAGGACTCTGGTTAGACGGGAAACCTTGAGTGGCAATTTAACATAAACACAATTTTATTTACATCTTGCAGACAGTAAAATGCATTTGTATTGCTAATCTACAGTTACCAGTTACTTCAATGCACCAAGAGAAAACTGCATTTGTATTTTGTTTTGTTTTCTAAAGGATGGGCTGCTGCTAAAATTCATAGGGAATGCATGAAATGGATGAGAAAAAAATCGACAGTACTTCTTCTGAGTATAAAATTATACCTTGAGAGCAAAGCCAGCTAAAACACACCCTGATATTTGGTACATACTCCTTTCACAGAATAAAAGATTTTCAACTTTCTGAGCACGGTTAATATCTTGTCAGAAAGACTCAGCTCAAAGAAGAGTTTCAGGGACAAAACAAAATACTGACATGTCAATTTACTACTTGATAGCAAGACATAATTTCTGCTTTCTAAACAATATAACTGGAAGAAAAGTGCACATTTTGCATTGCAAGGATATCCTTTGTCCAAGTAAGATTAACTCTTTGCTGGGAAATTATTTTTTCCCACACTGGTCAAATAGTTTCTATTAAATTCTGAAAACGTGATTTTCTCTCTTTCATTGCATTGGTTTAACACCAGACAGCAGCATAATAACAGTGAATATTATGACATTTTTATTTACAAAATACATTTAGCGGTTCTCTATTAATTATCAAATAATTAGAAACAAATTACAGATATCAGAATATGTAAAACATTTATGTAGGCATGCCGTACTTCTGTTCTATGATGGTAATTCCAGACGTCAACCTCACCAAACTTTATTAACTTTAAGGGAAAAAACGAATACCTAAATCTCTCTGCAAATATATCTAATGATCTAAAAGAAATGCATGGATTAACTGATTTTACAGGAAAAGCAAAAACAACAAAAAAGCCTTTTTTCAGCAAGTGCCAAAACAGTGGTTTATTTAGAGACCACAAAATCTAGTTACGAAAACGGGGTTTAGAATGCAGGAATTCCTCGTTTCTCAGGAGTAAATAATTCCTGTATTTCAATACCCCCCCAACGCCGACAGCAATCCTGACTTTGAAACACCAAAAACCTCATAATTTGAAAATCTACTCAACTAATCACCATTTACATTTCATTTTCTAGAGAAAATCCACCTAAATACTCTTTTTCAGCATTTCCAGCAGAGCTGGACAGAGCGTAGAAAAAGACAGTAAATAACTGTCATTTTTAACAAGCAGTTTCTTCTATTTCTGAATTATGGTTTGACTTAAGTTTCTTTGAGAACACGGAACATGGAGGTCACATCATCAGTGCTCAATTCTGCAGCTCAGTGTTTTCAACCTTTCTTTTATCCCCACTCCTCCCTGCGAATTTCTGTGTGTGTCCAGTAAGATCATGCAAGACAAGGGCTAAGACTGAGCTACGCTTTCATTTGGTCATCGCACGGACAGCACTGACTGCAGGTGAGTCGTAGACCCAGTTACTGGGCAGAAGGAAAGAAATACTCTCTCTTGGGCAAACTTTTTATATAGAGAAATCTCTAAAGGGACTGTGCTCATGAAGTCCTAGGTGTGAAAGGCTGGAGTTATTCTAGCAAAGTCCACAGTAGGCAACAGCCTCGCAAAAAATAATTATCAGTGGACTGCACTGAACATTGGTCTTAAGGGATTCTGGTCATTTTTGCTGCAGTTAAGCTGCCTGCAAAACAGACATCCCTGTAAAAATGCTGGATTAAGACAGCAGAGAGATGTTGTATTCTACAAGCTTGATCTCATTTCATTTCTCATTTTGTTTGCCGTGCAACCAATCTCACAACAGGCTGTGTCTACAAAGCATTTTTTAAAAAACTATACTTCTGCCTTTTAATCTCAGAGACTGTGAAGTCTGACTAATATGCTGAGCTGGGGCTGATGTGCAAAGACCACAAAAGGGGCAACTCCCTTTCATGGGGTGCCACCACGTTCTGGCCCTTCCTTGCCTCCTAAGCACCCTTCTCCCAGCAGCTCCCCAATTACCTCTAAAATGTCAGTTTGGGGTATCAAAGAGAAGCTGCAACATCTGCAAAAACAAGTAATGGCTTATGCGTGTACAAACAGATAGCTTAGATGGGACAAAACAACCGATTTTGCCTGGATCCCAAATGAATACAGGCCTCTTGGGTGGGAATAATGAGTAAGCTAGAGAGTCCATTGACCAACACTTGTAACAGCTCTGGAAGTCAAACTCCAGGTTTATATAGTGGATCTGCTAAAAAAAGCACTATATATGTTACAGTGTTTATGTCCGAATTAGTGGACAGGGGAACACGATATTTTTTAGGTTCATGCATGTACTTTGGCTGCATTCTGACAATGTCAGCTTGAGACCTGGTTTGCACCCTTGCCTGCTCTGGTTTCCCATAAAAAGGAGCGAGGGCAAGCCCAGAGGTAGCCATGGTGTGCCCAGCAGGTCCTGTGGTCTATGCAAGCAGGGGACCAGGAGGACAGGGCAGACCACGAACACACAGTTCGGCAGAGCAGAGACAGACGAATTCACAGGGCCCACAAATCACTCAATCACAATACATGCTCACATGCCTCCTCCAGACCATCTGTAGCTACAGCTTAGAACAAAATTCCAGAATTTCAATTTGAAGATTCCTGAAAATCTACCGGGGGTTCAGTGAAAAAGGCCTGTTATTAAAAAAAGCCAACAACAAAACAACATCAAGCATCTGTATTATTAAAGCGTTGGGGGGGAGGGCGGTTACTATCAGTAAGAGAATCGATTTGCTTCTTGAGAAACCCTGATGACTCAACCATTCTGATCAACTGCCTCAAGTACAAACCATCTCAGAACCATATCAGCAACTATTTCCTGGAGCACAGAGTCATCTACAGCCTCTTCCCTCTCCTGGTACAATAACCAGGCCTCACCTGAAAAAGAAAGAACTGTCCCACATGCCATCCATACTGCTAGGGTAAATATTCATCCAAATGCACTGTGTGTGGTTATGCTTTTTATAAGCTTCACTTCCAAAAGTGGCAAAGAAGAATAAGCACTGGTTGTCTGTCACCTGGGAGGAAGTTTGGGTATAACAGAGCAAACTGCTAACTCAGAACAGACAAAGCTTTTCTGACTCCCCTTTCACAAACGCTTGTAAGTGAGGGCTGAGAGGTGCCCAAGCTGGCTCTAGGCACAACAACTCATCTGCAGAACAGCAGAGGTGTCCTCCTACAATGGTGTGCCTGAGCTAGTAAGCTGTGCCAGGAAACCCAGGGGACTGAGTGCCTCAGGTTGGTACTAGCTCAGGGATCTACGTACTATGCTCCATTGCAGCCCATAATTACAAGACCATTTCTCCAAATAGCTACATTTAACACAAAGCACATTTGTATGCCCAGTGAAGTAGAAGAGGACTAATACATGAAAGGACTTTAATCTAAATAATGGCTTGCAACTATAGGAAGGTGCAATATTTCAACACAGATAAATAAAGCCTGGATAAATCTACTGCTCTGCATATAAAACAAAACAGCCATGGTATATCACAGCTGTAACCCACATATGACAACCAAGGTTACTTTTGGTTTTGTTCAGTACAGGGGACCAAGGATCTTCCTAAAGCACAGAAAAAACAAACACAAGCACAGATCTCTCATTCTAGTATAGGTATAGTGTTTCCTCACCCATATGAGTGGCCACAACTTTTACATATTTTTTAAAAAAACCCACCATGTCCTCCAATCATTGCAGAGGACTTTGTTAAGTCACTTTCCACAGGGTGGATGAATTCAGATTATATATTTCTTGATGTAAGAAGACATCTCTTAAAGAAAAAGAGAAGCTGTCTCCTAGACAGCTTAAATGATCCCAGCAAGGTTTGGGACCTTCTGAACCTTCAAGACATCTTCATGCTGGAGCTCTGAAAAGACTGAGAGATTAGACCACCACTGCAAATTTCTCAGTTTCTCTCTAGACAAAAGGAAGGGACTTCCCTTCGACGTTCCAGTATCGACAGGTCATACTGGGCTTCTCCCCTCCTTCCCAGACTCCCTGGGACTACAGGCTCTGACGCAGAGAGATGTCTTCTACTGCTTATCTGCAACCGTAGCATTTCACCTCCAACTGCTTGCACCGCCAGTCGTGGTTAAGTCACTGATCTAGACAGAGCCACCTTAACAGGAATTTTGGATGGGTTTTAGTGAAGGGGAGGAAAAAAGAGGACATAATGTTTAATTATAAGAAATGATTGAAATAGGCACAGACATACCCCGGGTGCCTCTGCACTGCAGCAAGCTCTAAACTTGTTATCGTTAATGGTTTAAATTTCACTGTGCTAATCATTTCAGGACACAAGCCTTTCTTGATAATCTAATGAATTATTCCAACATCCTTCAGCAAAAAAAATCCTCCATGACAGCACTAATTACAAGACGTTTTCCCAGTGCTTATGTAAAATATGACAGAGCAGCAGCTTAGGGAATTGCAGAAAACTGCTTCTAATTTCCACTGAGAAACTGACAAACACCTCTCTTTCATCTCTCCCAGCTCTCAAGTAAGATTTAACTTTCTCATTTAGTTAATTACCGAGTGAGGATCATCATTTTCCCGGATCGGAGCGGCACAGAGCCTTTATCGTGTTAACTTGTGAACTTGATCGATGGCTGCTGCTAAAACTTAATAACTTCACCCCCTGGCAAATTGTAAGATAAATATAATAGGAGAAACTCTGACAGTAAAAACCTGCCAGAAATGAGCGCTGTGTTTATGTTTCTTTGCAGGCAGCAAAAAAACAACCG